AGATTGTAATTTTATAAAATATGAAATAATAAAAAATATATTACTATTGAGCCAAATAATCTTCATAATCATGTAGGAAACATCGATATAACTCTGCATGTCGAAGAAGGTGAGTTTTAGATAAATTAATTTTGAGCCTAAGTGATAGAAACGAAAGTTGTAGTAGTCGGTAAACCAAGAACGCACATATTGTAACACCCGGAATCCGAAAGACCAAGAAAGGAAAGGAAAACCCTAAGTCAAAGGGGTCAAATCGTCGAGTCCATGGATGAACTCAACGAGTTGGACCGGGTTCCGCATCGAGATTTAAGTGACCGACTCGGCGAGTCGGAGGGACTAACTCGGCGAGTCAGGTCTGGGTTGGGAAACCCTAATTTTTGGACTTGGTAACCTTTTAAGCATCATTTCAGGCCTCCACCCCAGCCTCCATCACTCCCTTTACCTACTCTCGAAACCCTAAGTCTCCATTGAAGTGCTCTCAAGCTTTCTTTGCCATTTTTGGGTGATTTGCAGTTCAACGAGACCACCGTGAGGTGGTGTAACTTTTGTTATTCGTTATGTTTAGGATCAAAATTGTCTTACATAAGTTGCATTCTCCAACCTAACTTGTAGATTGATCATAGTTTAGATTCATTTTACACTCTTATAATTCGAATAAAATCAAATTGTTAAATGATACTATCACCAAAACAATTTAATTAAGTTATAAGTAGGTCGAGATCATGACATATGTAAGATTGAGCTAATTTGGCACTAGATGATTATGGGTTAATGGATAAAGGAACACGAACATATTTTTTTTAGAACAACAACAAAATATATAACTAAAAAATGAAGCTAGCAAAGAATACAAAATTAAGGCATCAATGGATCACACAACCACGTATTACAATTATTAGAAGCCTTCTTGTTCCTATAGGTGAGCCAATGAAAAGATAAATCTAAAATACTATCAAACAAAAACTGCTTTTTGCACTTAGAAGGGCAAAAAATATCCGCGTTCCTATGGGACCATATAACCTAAAGCACCGTCAAGCACACCGCCTCCAAGAACAGCCAAACCCTACTAGCTACTTGCGAAGTATCAATCCAATTAATAAATTGATACCGATCCACAAAACCTGGAATCGCCAAATCCAACCACAAACCGACTCTACTCCAAATTGGACAAGCCAAGTCGCAATGAAAGAATAAATGAGCCACAACCTCTTAAGCATTTTGACATACAAAGGAAAGAATAGAATTCAACTCTACGCCTCTTTCCACCAGAAGCTTTCTAAGAGTTAGTCTCCGTAGTAAAATGCATCAAAAAATATATTAACTTTTAAAGGCACATAAGAATTCCATCTAATACCAATTCCTTCCACTGGAAGGGTAGCATCGTCAATCTGTCTCCTAACCGACTTAACCGAGAAACACCCACTGGGATCAAGATCCCAAAACCACTTATCTAGGGTAGCAGACAAAACCACCGAGGAAAAAATAGACAAAATATTATCTAATTACAGAGATTCAGCCCCACCTCTAATTGGTCTATGCCAGGAGAAACCCCAACCCGTAGAATCCCAAAAATCAAAACTTTACCAACTTTGAGAAGAGAGAGTGCATAAAATCTATGAAACATAGATTTGAACACGACTCCACCACACCAAGCATCCTCCCAGAATCTCGCAATAGACCCATCACCTAGGACAATAGACATAGAATTTTTATCAACCATATCCCGATCATGGAGTTGATTAATAGAGGCCAAAATTTTCTCCCATACCCCACTTCTATATGGACGAGACCCACCTAATAAGGCCCCTGAATCTCCATACAACCCCTTAATAACTTTCACCCATAAAGAACCTGTTTCATTAAAAAACCGCCACTTCCAGTTGTACAAGAGAGCATGATTGAAAGCATACAAGCTACCAATATCAAGGACACCTTTATCTTTAGAATTTAAGACCACATCGCATTTCACCCAATGAATATGCCTCTGACCTTCTTCCATCCCCCAAAAAGATTTAGCTTGACAAGATTCCAACACATGACAAACAGTAGCAGGTAGTCTAAACAAAGAGAAGAAATAGATACCAAGGCTTCCCAAAACAGATTTGGTCAAAGTGAACCGACCACCAAAATAAAGAAGCTTATCTTTCCAATTAGACAACCTCTTACGAAAACGATCAACAACAACATCCCAACTACGCACTCGTGTCATAGACCCACCCACTGGAATCCCGCGATAAGAAAAAAGGATAGAAGTTGCAACATAACCAGTGAAACAAGCTAGGGAAACAACTTCCAAATCAGCCACTCCAACCCCCATAAGGCTAGATTTAAAGAGATTTATCTTTAAAACTGAAATCATAAAGAAACACCCGAGGATAATAATAAGATTCCTAACATTTCTCTCATACCAATCACCCATAAACAAAGCATCATCTGCATTAAAAAGATGGGACAAAAACAAATTGGAATTCCCCACTATCACCCCCTGAAAAATACCTGAAGCAACAACATCTTCCATAGCAACATGCAAGCCTTCCATAGCAATAATAAATAAGAAAGGAGCGATAGGATCTCCTTGCCTCAAACCTTTAAATAACTGGAATTCATCAGTAGGGATTCCATTAAGTAAGATAGAGGATTTCAAGTTTTTAAATAACCCCCTAATCCATAAACGCCACCTGATCCCAAATCCCATAAACTGCATAATCTGGTCTAGATAATCCCAGCTAACCGAATCATAAGCCTTCTCAAAATCAACTTTGAAAATGAGAAACTTCTTCTTTATCTTCTTATACCAAGAGATCAATTCACTTACCATAAGCGGGCCATCAAGGATCTGACGACCCTTAAGAAAAGCATATTGCTCCACACTGATAACACTAGGAAGAACAGAAGCCAATCTTTTAGCTAATAACTTAGCACTAACTTTAAATTGCATCCCGATAAAGCTAATAGGCCGAAAATCCTTAACCAGTAAGGGATTATCAACCTTCGGAATGAGAGTAATAAAAGAAGAGTTACACCCCATAGGAATAATAGGTTTGAAATAAAATTCATGAACAAAGCCAATGACATCAGACCCTAACACATCCCAAAAATGTCTAAGGAATTGAACGAAAACCCATCCGGACCCAGAGCACGGTCCCCACCACAATCCCACACAACTTCTTTAATTTCCTCCGAAGGGAAAGGTTCTTCTAAAAACGAAACCGCATCAACCCCGAGAGAAGAAAACCGACTACTTCTATTAGACATCTGAATGTTATGAAAGCGTTTGAATTTAGAAGAATAATAAGTAAATTTTTTTTTAACAGAAACTGGATCCGACACCCATTGTTCGCCAACCGAAACCCCACGAACCAAAAATTGCCTTTTTTATTTTTTTAAATACCATGAAAGAAAGTAGAATTCTCATCCCCTTCAACTGACCATTATATTTTAGCCTTTTGAGCCAAATCAGCAACATCAACCTTTTGCAAACACCCACGCTACCCAAGAATACTCTTCTTTTCATTAACCAAATCAATTGAAAAAAGCCCACCATCAATAGAACTATCAATATCAACCAACCGAGACTCTAGTTGCACCTTTTTTATTTCACGAACCGCCTTAGTCCTAAAGTGTCAATCCTGGATCTTATTCTTAAGGAACGTGAGTTTATTTTTAAACAAATCCACAAATGTTTAATAATCTTCAAAACATATTGGTTTTCATTATCTTCAAAACAAATCCACAAATGTTTAATGAATTTTTATAATAATTATTATCTTTATAGCTTAAATTCCGGTACCCATATTTGCTTATAAGCATAAAAGATTCAAATTTGAATGAAGTGAGATTAAAAAACAAGGAACAATAGAGGTTGTGGGTGTTAGGTTTAGTGAGTTTGGTGTGAAATACGTGTCCATTAGGAAGTGTGTTTGGTGTGAAGTGTGTTTTTGTGTAGGTTTAGTGTGTGTTTAGATAAAACTTTACTTGGGTCCTAAGAAAACATACATCCGTTCAAGTGCAATTTGAGTTTATTTTTATTATTTTTTTATTTTTTTTCTTAAAAAAGAAACATTCCTTTAGAGGTGAAATTAAAAAGATTCCCTTAACGTTTTGCAAGTTATTTATTCTAGCAGCAATACAAAACTTTTGCATGCCAGTCTTTTAAATTTATATTTTCCATATCTGTCTATATGGAATATTCTATTGATATAAATCTTGTATACCAATAATATACTTAATCTACTATGAACTTTTGTTGACTTACGCGATAGAAACAACAAATGCATAAAATATATTATTGGAAATTAAAAATAAGTTCAGACTAATAATGTACCTAACTTTTGTATTAACCATCATCTTTTAAGACATATGGTTACACTATATTCTATTGAACGTGTATGGCAAAAGAAAGTTCACAAATGTTGAATGCCTTTTTGTTCTTTGTGATAATGATTTTATAAGGCAATAAATTATGATTTTTTATTTTTATTTTTATTTATTTTTGTTTTGTTTTGTATATATTCAGTTATTTTATTATATTATTTCATTAAATTTATATTTTATGTTAAAAAAATGATGTAGAACAAAAATACGAATTAAGTTTTTGCTTTTTCTCTCTACTTTCATCTTAATTCACATCTATATTTTCAGGATTTTCAAATACATGTAGAAATGCACGAATTAAGTTTTTTCGTTTCTTTCTACACTTTAGAATGCCTTCTTGACTTGAAAAATACGAATCTTGATATAAGAAGAAACTAAAAATTGAAAATAATTGAAAGTTTTGTTTCATAAAATTTTATTAGACAAAAATTTATTAGACGATAGCTTTAGATAAAGGTAAGGTTGCTAGGTAATTCATATTTGAATGAACACGTTTGTGCTAATATTGTTCTGATTTGTAACAAAAAATATGAAATTTGTTTTAGGGCATAAAGTTAATAAGTTGCACGAGGCTTCCAAGATTTCTAGAACGACCCTGGTCACCTTCAATCTGACTTTAACGACCAATGTACAATCTTGAGGATCCATCTATTTTTGGTATGCATTACATCTTCATTTGTTATGTTCTTTAATGTTTTAATGTTGATAATGATAAAAAAGCAAGAATATAGCAATATACATGCAAATCACTTGTAATGATTTTTATTATTTTTGGTTTATAAATGCAGATAAAATTCGTTGGTAAGTATAAGTTGAAAACTAGAAACTAATAGTTGTATCTTTTACTTTTGTAAAAATATTTGGTAGAAATATATGTTAATTTTAAATGCGTAAATTACTTAAAATTAAAAGCAAAAAACTTTGAAAAACTTGTTTTTTTCACAACTTTTTATTTAAAATAAAAAAAACCCAAAAATTACTGCTGTCAAACAAAGTTTTTTTATGGAGATTTTTTTAAAGCTAAAAGTTAAAATTTTTTAAAAATCTCATACCAAAAACGACCAAAGAGTGTCATTTTGATCTCCAATTTTACAAATAAATGTACATCTTATATATTGGTAACTTGGTATTAACATGCGAGAATGTTACAAAAACAAAAAAATTAAATACAATTATTTATGTGAATATGAAGATTTGGTAAGAGTGGTTAAATACTTAAATAGTCATAGGAAGTCGGAAAATAGGATTCAACTATACAAAACTAAACTACGGTGTCCAAGTTGATACAAATTAAAAGTCCAAGGGGTAAAATGGTATTTTTGCTTTCGCTACATACAGATCTATATATACGCACATAAAAACTTTTTTGCTTTCTTTTTGCAAATTCTAGAGAGAGAGAGAGAAAAAAAATTCGAAGTCAATGGAGACGAATCTGTATTTTACCAGAAAATGATATCAAAATCAAACCCTAGATTTCTTGTTTAATGTTGAATGTGGTCGGTTTTTGATTTTGATTTGTATAATTATCGATTTTTAGGGATTTGGAAATAATTTTGTGATCCGATCTTCTCGATCTGTGGATATCGGATCGGAAAATAGGAGAGGGGAAAATGCCGTCGCACGCAGATGTAGATCGGCAGATAGAGCAATTGATGGAGTGCAAACCGTTGACGGAATCGGAGGTGAAAAATCTTTGCGATCAAGCTAGGGCCATACTTGTAGAGGAATGGAATGTCCAGCCGGTGAAATGTCCTGTTACCGTTTGTGGCGATATTCATGGTCAGTTTTACGATCTGATCGAGCTGTTTCGGATAGGCGGCAATCCTCCCGATACCAATTATCTCTTCATGGGGGATTACGTTGGTAAGATCTCAATTTTCCAATCTCCTGTCTTTGTTATATATGACTTAGCGAGGTTTTGACAACTTTGGGGGACGGATTATTCCATTCCATGATGATTAACTTTAGGAATCGAATTCAGTTTCTCCGAAGATTGAAATTTATGATAGTTCAGCTTTTTCACTGAGAACGTAGATCTTGATTATCAGATATTTTCGTGAATTTATTGTTTCAACTTTGAAATGATGTTTGATGATTGATGTAAGTTTACTACTTTGTTGAATACTGTTGTAATCAGATTGTTAATACTACATACAGATCGTGGATATTATTCCGTGGAGACTGTGACGCTCTTGGTGGCTCTAAAAGTTCGTTATAGAGACAGACTCACAATTCTCAGAGGAAATCATGAGAGTCGACAGATCACTCAAGTGTAATACTAAAACAATTATTGCATACTCGATTACTCATACTGTTTCTTTACTTTGTGATTGATTGATTGATTACTCACATACATCATTGATGAAAACTCAGATATGGATTCTACGATGAATGTTTAAGAAAGTATGGAAATGCAAATGTATGGAAGCATTTCACTGATCTTTTCGATTACCTTCCTCTTACAGCACTTATCGAGAGCCAGGTTTGAATAATTACAATTTACAAATGTCTTTTTTTGTATTCTTTCTCCTTTCTCCTTCATCTTATCTCATATCTAACGAATTTGTTTTGTTGCATCATATTGAATTCACAGGTGTTCTGCTTGCATGGAGGACTTTCACCATCTCTTGACACACTAGACAATATCCGAGCATTAGACCGGATACAAGAGGTACAATGACAAAATTTAGTAATTTAGAAATAAACAAACACTTGTATAATCTGTAATCTTGTTAATTGTTATCGATTTTGGTTGTGTATTTATAGGTTCCACATGAAGGACCGATGTGTGATCTGTTGTGGTCTGATCCAGATGACAGATGTGGGTGGGGGATATCGCCACGTGGCGCTGGGTATACATTTGGACAAGATATCGCGTCTCAGTTTAATCATACAAATGGACTCTCTCTCATTTCAAGAGCTCATCAGCTTGTTATGGAGGGTTTTAACTGGTGCCAGGTTTGTAATTTTATAATCATCCTCATATTCATAAAATAATGAGAAAAGAAAAGAAATATTGATTTGATTGTAATTGTTGGATTTAGGAAAAGAATGTGGTGACTGTGTTCAGTGCTCCAAACTACTGTTACAGATGTGGGAATATGGCTGCGATTCTTGAGATAGGAGAGCATATGGACCAAAACTTTCTCCAATTTGATCCAGCACCAAGGCAGATTGAACCAGATACCACTCGCAAGACTCCTGATTATTTTTTGTAATCACAATTCACATATTCCTAATCCAATTGGGGTTGGGGTTCGGGTTCACCCTGTTTGTAATCCAAATCCAAATCCAAATCCACCTTGTAGATGTTTTTTTCCCCTTCAGAAAAACAAGACACCAGTTTTGTTGTTTATTGTCATGTTGTTGTTGTTGTTGTTGTTATGTTGTCTTAACATCATCATTCTTTTGTTTCGAATTTCCACTGCACATTTACTTTCTACTTTTCCTCATCTTCTTTATGCCTTTTAGATAATACCGAAACATCGACTTAATGGGTCAAACATTTAATCTGTATTTAATATGGTCAGACATAAGCCAAAGAAGCTGGTTTAGGCTGTATTTGGTGCGTTAAAGTTAGTTTTTATTTTTCTGAGTTTTTTTTTTAAGTTGTCATGTTTAACAAGTTAAAAATTAACTTATAAGTTAGCTTTTTAAAAAGCTACTTAGATTGGTTTTTCATGAGTTTTTTTAAATACCATTTTATGTAATTTTATATATTTTAGTTAAAACATCAAATTTTTTCAATTAGATTTTCAACTGTCAATTAGCTTTTTAATAGTTAGCCTTTTAGCTGTTATGCAAATGTAACATTAATAGGTAGAGATATTAACTAACACTTCATCTATTTGTCCCATTATTTCTTCCAAATTTTGATTGATATTGAGCATTTGTCTTTTAAGTTAAAAGGGTAAAATGATCATTTAGTCTTGTTTATAAGGTTTATTCGACCCCATGGTATTTAACTTGGTCAGGATGACTTAATGAATTAAGCCACAAAAATTGGCTAACGGGGCTTAGATAGTAACCTTTTTTTTTTTTTTTTATCCATTTGCCCTTCCTTTTTCTTCCAAAACTTGAGATGAATGCTGTGAAATTTATTTTATTAATGGAAAAAGTAAACCTTTTATACAAACAAACATCATTACACATAGCTAACCACCCCTATATAATCCCTAAAATCAAACCCTAGTTAATCTTATCATAAGTCTTTATTTTTGTCTTCCACTTTTACAAATACAAACACCCGCCACGTATTATTATTATTATAATAATCACATATTATGTATTTTATTTATTCATCAAACTATGCGACACTAATAATGGTATTGGCATCCCCACTATTGTTATTAAAGCTACCAGAAATATCTTGAAACTTGGCCATGGTATTAGTTGGTGGTGGGGATGATGTGGACGGTTGATGTTGGAGGGAGAGGTGTAGAGTCAACGCCAAGGAGGAGGGTTGGTGGTCAATCTCCTCCTCCTCCTCGGTTGAGTTTAGGTTAAGGTTGGCCATTTTTGTTGATGGAGGCATGAGTACACGTGTCGAGGGGCTCATCACTGAATTATCATCTCCGGTGGTGGCCGGAAGTAAAGATAGTGGGTGTTTTTCCTCATCTTCCGGTGAACAGTTTGTATACTGCCAATTAAAAGAGTAATAAATAAATTAAATTGTTAACTTTTTTTTTTCCACCGATTAACATGCTTAAGAGGTTGTAATCATGATGGATCACTGTATAAAACATGACAAAAATCATCTAAACAACGTTTTATTTATGTAAAGTTGAAATTACAACATTTATATATTTTTCAATTATGTATAGTTTAAAATATTTGTAGCCGAAATTCAATAACGGAATAATCACCACAACATTCTTTACAATAGTAGTTGGGATATTTATGATTAGGAGAATAAATGCATTTATGTCTATTTATTTGTTTGTTTTTTTTTTTTTTATTCTTTAATGCATATAGTTTTATCATTGTTTACAAAATTCATAAATATCTTAATCTAAATATAATTTACAAATTTGGTAATTATCCCCTTCATAGTTAGTTCTAAAACAAGACTTGGCAAAGGAATCAATCTCACGTCGCATGTTAATATCCAAAACGTATTTTAGAAGCGAGTGTTTGATTAAAATAATAAAAACTGATTTTTTTTTCAATATTAACTTTTAATTTGCAAAAGAAATTGTAAATTCAACATACAAAGATAGAAATTGTGTTTGATCAAATATGAAGCATCAATCATAGTTTGTGATCTTTGATTCAAATCGTATTAATCAAAATTTCAAATCGATTATGAATATTAATCATGTTATTGCGAAAATTTTATGATCAAATAGAAGAATCATTAGATTTTATATAATTAGAGAAATGAAGAGGATTACCGTTTCAGTGGTGATGTCAAATAGGCTAGATCTCCGGCGACGCCTGTTATTGTTATTGTTCCGGCGGAGGAAGTACTTCTGAGCATGGCTAGCAACTTGAGTCGGTGTTCGAGTTTTAACGAAGTTCCTTGAGATTCCTCTCCAATCTCCTTTCCCTACCTTATGTAACCCCACCAGAAACAGCCGGTGTTCCTCCTCCGTCCATGGCACTCCTATTCAAATCAAAATCGATCGGCGCGTGAAAATTACAAAACATGTATTGATATCGTAAGATCGATGCAACTACCTCTTTTCCGGTCTTGGCAACGAGCAGAAGGATGAATGACGTCATCGGAGGCATAGCCGGCGGCATCTGTATTGGAATCTGTAGGCTGGCATTCGAACTGAGCTAGATTATTCATGCTCGCACTCTTCCTAAAAGAAGATCCGCCTTCCATCAATCTAACACCGAATAACATGATACTTTTTCCGATGTTATTGACGGGGGAGGAGGAGGTGGTGGTGCTACCAGTGGACTCCAAGCAACTGCCGGGCATGGCTGCCATTGTACTTTCTTTCCCCCTTTGGTTGAATGGAGGGAGGGAAGATGGATGAAGACAAGATGTGGGTTTGATTTGATAAAATAAGGGAATGGGATTTGTGGGTTTTGTTTATTGCTAAACCGTACTCGGGTATGCTTATATGTCACGCACGACCACTTGTTACATGTATAACTTTACAAATCCTTAATCACAACCGTTCAAACCATCTACTTATTTTGTCATCTTCCATTTTTGTCTTTTTGGTCTCCAAATTTAGGGCATCTCAATCAGTTACATTATCTTAGGATTTAAAATTGGAGACCATCGGTGGACCTATTTTTTTATTGTCAAATATAAATTTAGTACATCAAAATCCATGACAAAGAGTTGAAATTCATCACAAAATCTCAAAATCTAATAAGTTAAAATTTAATGTAAATATTTAGTGTAATCATTTTAGTAACGAATTTTGCGACAGAAAATACAGTAAAAAAATAAGTTTTTTTTTTTTTTTTCAACCATCCAAACATTTATGCAACCAGTGATATTTTTTCTGTGTCCGCCACTGAACATTCTATTAATCTAGTCTATAAATAAATGTTTAGGATAATGACTAGGGGTGCAAACGAGCCAAGCTACTCGCGAGCTACTCGGGATCGACTCGATAAAAGCTCGACTCGAAACCGATTTTAAACGAGCCCGAGCCGAGCTCGAGCTTAATATTAAGCTCGTTTATTAAACGAGCTCGAGCTCGAGCCTATGTCACTAAGATCGATTAGGCTCGCGAGCCTAAACGAGCCTTTATATAATATATTTTATTATTATTTTCTTATATTAAAATAAAGATATATTTGGGAAATTATGGATTTTGGGTATTTGTAAACGAGCTTCTTAACGAGCTTGAGTCGATCTTAAGTTTATTTAGGCACATCAAACGACAAACGAGCCTAGCCCGAGCCCGAGCCGAGCTTGTATAATTCTTTACGAGCTCGAGTCGAGCTCAGTAAAAGAAAGCTCGAATCGAGCCAAGCTCGAGCTCGAGCCTCATATAACTTAAACGAGCCCGAGCCGACCTGGCCAGGCTCGGGCTCGGCTCGGCTCGTTTGCACCCCTAATAATGACTTAAAAGGGTAATATATTTTTCGATTTTTATATATTCGGTCATTGATTTTTTTTCGTCCACATTTACCACTTAAACTTGTTAAAGTGTACATATTTAGTCTTTATGACCGGTTACTCTAAGGTGGTGTTTGTTTCGCAGAATATTTTTTGAAGGAATGAAATCTGTCAAAAGAATTGGAATTTGAAGGAATTGAAATCTGAATGTACTAGAAGCTGAAATGCGTTTGGAGACAAGGAATGGAATCTGTTTTCTGTTTAGTTTGTTGATTTTACAAAGGAATTAGAAAATAAATTTTATAATACGCCGACAATAAACGTACATAGCATGTAAAGAAAATTCTTCATACTTCACACAAAGAAACTAAAGATGTAGTAAGCAGCACAAATGTTAAAAAAATTATGCTATTTTCTATCAGACAAAGATGAATCACATATTACAAATATATAAAAAAAAATGGTTGAACACAGTTAATTGCAGAAAAATTGAACATGAGATGTTTACCTGTAAACGAAGATGATAGATACACCAAAGCAGTAGAAGAATGATGAGCCAAAAATGAAATACGGCAGTAATTGTAGAAAAGATATGATCGATAGATGATTTTTTTTTTTGACAAATACCGATTGGAGAAAAATATAATCGATAGAAGAAGGTAATCGTAGAAAAGATATGAAAAATCACATAGATTATTTTGTTTTACTAGAACCGCATATATATGGGAGGATAACTGTGTAACAAAAAAAAAAAAACTAACTGAATGTGGATTCCTTATAGACAGGGAATGAATGTGAAATCTTTCATACACGAAATTAAAATGTAATTATGGAAATCATATTTCATTTCTTCTGTTAGCCAAACACATTTTGTATTGGATTTTAGTTTCCAATTCCTTTCAATTCCTTAGGAATCAAACGAAACAAACGACCCCTAAGTTATTCGAGAAAAATGAGTTGATACGGTAATATATTTTTCATTTTGTACATATTTAGTCCTTAATATTTTTGTACACATTTAATCTTTAATATTTTTTTGTTTCGAAATAAATCATTTTTGTTTTTATATTCATTCAGTACTTATAAATAATTTCTTTAAGTTTTTTCCAATGACATCTTAGGTGAAACAATCATTGATGAGGTGTTTGAGGTTGTTGATGTTTATGTCAATCGCGATCTCGACTGTTTGGTTGCACAGGTCGTGTGGTTTGGCTTAGGTCTTGTGTTCTGAATGTCGTAACTTCTTCACACGATTTTAGATTTTAACGATCTTTATATCCACGTGTTCGTTTTTTGAGTCTACAACTTTCGTTATGATTACTCTCGTTAAAATATAATATATTTTTACTTACGATTTTATAAAAAAAAATCATACATGTATTCATAAAAAACGTA